GTTCCTTTCAGTAGAGGGTTAGCGACGTTTGCGTCGCGTTACTTGTGAATAATTGTTACACACGTTTAACCCATTGGGTCCGGATGACGAGAAATCCCGTCCTGAGACTTTGTGCACTCAATACCTTTAAAAACATGATTTATTGGTTATTTAATGCTATGGATTGTATGAATATTTGTGTTTTGGAATATTCGTGCGGTCAAGATCATTTGTACTTATTGATGTTTACTGGTTGTCCTTTGATATTTCAGACAATTAGCATATCATTTAATGACTTAATACATGAATCAGTTTGCTAATACTTATCGACAAATAACTGCCGCTCTGAAGAAGATAGTTCCTATTATTAAAGTCGTTCAAGCATGATATCTCTGAGAAATATTCTGATCGAACGATCGCATTTGATGAATAAGGTAGAGTGCATTTTTTCATATAAAAGGTCACAAAGATCATTCATTTTGAGCTCATGGGTACTTTTTTCTTTAACTTTCTGCTATCGTAGAATGACGTCAAGCTTTCTCTGTTTTCTTTTCTTTTATATATACTTTGAGGCACGTTCAAGTAGATTCTTGTTCTCTCTGCAACTGATATATATATATATATATATATGTATATATACATGGGGTGATCCAAAAGTTCCCGGAACTGCACTATATATATTTAGAGAAACGACATTCTACTCATCTCTCTACACCATATATTCGAGGTAGTTGTTATGATATTCCATGGGAAGTTTCACCCATTTAACTCACTCTTCAGATATTCTTTCGAAGTAAACAATAGGTATTGAATTGACCTCCTTTGTTATTGCTTGAATTTCGATACTTTTTGGCACCCTGAAAAATTTGAAAACGTTTCTAAGCGGTGAACAGATTTTATATGATACCATTAGTGGTTATCAGACTGGATTGTACCATTACAGTATTGGATGAAAATGATTATTAAAACTTGAGTCAGCAAGAGAAAGTAGTCCTCGAACCGACATTTCCTGTTAAGGTTATCAAAAACAATGATACATGTAACTTTTTTAGTGACTTCCGAACCATTATCTGTCATCTAGTGGTTTCTATAGTGGATAGCAATCCTATCGATATTAGTGATAAAAGTTTAAATTCATAAATAAAAAAGCTATCGAACAAATATGTATCGTCATGGTCTAATCCAATCAGTTTCCATCATGAGTTTTTTCGACAACATGTAAAATAATGTCATTATTAACTTCAAAGTGAGAGGAACGAAGTTAAACTTCGCCGAACATACTCACATGGGACTAGACTTCCATACTCTTAGTTGTTCAGATGTATTCAGCATAGGATAGATAAACAGCAGCTACAACAGTTTAGTAGGGGTAATAACCAAGGATGTAAATTCAATACCTATTGTTTACTTCGAAAGAATATCTGAAGAGTAAGTTAAAAGGATGAAACTCCCCATGGAATATCACAACAACTACCTTGAATATATGGTATAGAGAGATGGGTAGAATGTCGTTTCTCTAAATAGATATAGTGCAGTTACGAGAACTTTTGGATCACCCTTAGTACCTATTTTGTTCTTATTATTTAAATGACAACGTGATTGGCCTCAACATGTTGTATATTTCTGTGGGTCTGGTCTGGGTGTGGGTGTGGCTATGGGCGGGTGTGGATGTTGGCATTATCTTAAACTACATCCACATCCACCACTCACATCCTCTGAAAATCCACTCCGACTCACAGCGCGACATTTTTCTTCATGCATTGCATCAACAGTCACTCAAGCAAATCCAAAAAGAAAGTGTTATGTTTGTGCTCATACTGTGAGAAGAGTCAAGTCTAGGAGAGACACGTCGTAAGAATGTATCGAGTGATGTGAGGTTGTGTCTAATAGATTGTTTTAAGAACAATCATACTCCACGAACATTCTGAATCGTGTATTTAATGATATTATTGAAAAAATAAACATTGATTTGAAATTTTAAGAAATCTTAGTGCTTAAAAATAATCCCGGACTGAAAGGGGCACGGTTGTGTTTTTGTATCTACTTGCAATATCTTGTCAAATCAATGATGGGTCAAAGAAATACCAATCTCCTATAAACATAAAAGAAGGTGATGAAGAAATAATGTAAATCTGGGGCGAGGCAAGGGAAAGGATAACTTACACGGGGCGGGACGGGGCGGGGAGCAACCTAAACCGGGCCAATCTGGAGGGGGTGAAGAAAAAAATGGAAAACGGGGGGCAAGGCAGGGGAATTGGCGAAAAAAGACCTTTGGGTTCGGGGCGAGGCGATGCGAAGAAAGATTGTTTGAGGCGAGGCGAGGCGAGGCGATGGAGCTAAAATTCACCCCGTTTCGGCCTCTGATAACAGCCAAAATAAAATAGTGAATAAAATGATGAAAATATAAAATCGCGAATAGGGTTTGGGTGTGGATGTGTTTCTTTTCTTTTCACACTCGACACCCACACCCACACCCTATATACTTTGTTCACTGAACAAAGCATATTGATATGACGGGTTTGTTTGTTGATATACTTTCTTTTTCCTTCTCCTTCATCGAGAAGCCAACATCTCAGCCTTCACGTTCTTTTTTTCCTTTTTTTTCTTTTTTGTGTATTTATGGATTGTGAAGCGTGATCACTAGGCAAAAAATGTATAGAGTATACAATCAGAGAGAAAAAAAGAGGCTCACATACGTCGAATGGTTCAAGATTTTACATACAGAAAGGTAAAAAGGAATGATTATTTTGGGAGCGACGGCTTTTTTGAGACTTCATTCTTTATTTTTTATGATTCAGTGTAGACGTTTCTAAGGAAAAAGAACCTCACAGCAATTTTTTCTCCTTTTTTCAGATTGCAAAAAATAAACAATCAATTGATTTATGGCTGCTGTAAGGATGAATATCATCCAATGTGTGTTAACGATTGTGCTTTATCGACTTACTTGCACTATTGCTCATATTTCGTCGATATCTGAAACGTACACAAAACATCACGATCATGTTCAGGAGAATCCCATACTTATCGAAGTATCTTGGACTATACATGATTACAATCTTCATACTATTCCAACTTTACAAGTTGTCACCAATCCACTTTTAGCTCGACAATTCTCGCCTATCTATAAAGAAATATTTGCTAATTTGAAGCAACTTAATGCTGAATATGCTCGATATGCTGTCTGGTTTCCTTATCCAAAATTAGCTATTGCTGAACTTGATCCTCCATCAGGTTTGTTCCAATGTGGAAATGTAGGTGAAGGTTTTTCAATAAATCTCTCATGTGAACAAAGTAATGGTGTGATAAGTAAAGTTGATTTTGCATCTTATGGAACATCAAGTGGTGCATGTGGTCAAATGCAACAAGGAAAATGTCATGCAGAAAACAGTTCAGAAATTGTTCAAAGAGTTTGTATTGGACAACAACAATGTAGTATTCCAGCGACGTCTGATCTTTTTGGTGATCCATGTAAGTTTTTTTTAATCGATCTATTCCGTTGTGCAAATGATCTTACTAGTGGCGGAGCCAGTATTTCGGTCCTAAGAGAACTGAGCCTGCCACACTTTTTTCAAATCTGTCAAAGGTAGTAGAAATTTTTACTGAAAGCATCGAAGATCGGTGCTACTTTTTGCTCTGTGAAATTCTATTCACTCACACACTCTTCAGATTTTTTACGAATAAATCAACAAACAATGAACTTCTAATTGAAAGTTTTATTTGTCAAAAATCTTTTATTCACATCAAGAATATTCTAGTATTTCTGTATTGAATCGCAATAACTAAGACTGCCATATGTACCCATTTCGGGGTATAATACTTCATTTCGAACTTTTGTACTTCAAAAATACTGTACCCTTGGCATACATCTTTTATACTCCATTTGCGCATTTTTGTCTCTTTACTAGATGCAATGAACATTTTGTTCACAGAAGTCATCAGAAACTTTGTTTTACAGCTAAAGAAAATTTTATATAGCTGTAAAGTATAAATGACACTATGATATTATTGTTTAAATCTAATTCTTCGTTAGCACTTTAACTTTACACTCAAATATACACTGAGTGTAATAAAATTAAATCATTCTCCCAAAATAGAAGACCATCTCATATTAAAAGTTACTCTCTAGAAAATTTCGATTAGACATAATAGAAAGCCATGAATTTACCAAAAGTTTTTTCCCGGAAGGCAAACAGAATTCTGGAGATTTTAGTACCTAAAAACCTTTTTGAAAGTAAAAAAGTGGTTTTTTGCAATAAAAACAACTTTTTTTTCTAGTAAAAGTGTTTTTCTTAGTAAAAATCCTGGTTTTCTGACAGTGAGCTACTTAAAATCCTGTTTTGAACTCCAGGAAAATTTTTCAAAAATTCTTGGTATTTTTATGTAAAAGTCAAGAAAAACCTAGCCCGCAATATAAGATCACCACTGGAAGAGCAATCGATATTCTCATGATAGAAGGCCAGGACCTTTTATTCTGAGGAGATTAGTAGAGATGACATCGAAATATCTTGTATAGTTATAAATTTTCATTCTGAACTGATCGATAACTGGTAGAAAATATAAATGTGTTTCTAAAAAGACTTATTCAATTAATACAAATAGTTAGTGTTTATCTCACCGGTATATAGTCGTCTCAATTTTTGCGGCAGAATTGTATCGAAAATGGCCTATTTCTAATATTAATTTTTGCGGAAAATGAACATCTCAAATCATTTTCTTCAAAAAAAAGTCATCAAATATGACTCCTCTAATTATCAAAATCCTCTTATCTAATTAGTCCTCTTTCAGCGTATCCTGCATTATTTATAATTTGTATATCCTGTCACTGTACGCCATTTATAAAAGTTGTACTCCATGTGTATCCCATCTGAGATCGTGTATATCACATTTAAACTTTGCTATATGGCAGCCCTGACAAAAACATTCTTATATAAGTTTTTTGTAGATACCCAACAGAATTGAGATGACCAAACCTTTATCCTCGTTCATAAGTAATATCGTTCACCGACAATGGTATCACTCTCAAAATTTCAATAAAGGAAATGCAAAAAGAATTCCGATTTAATCACGTCTAATAGACAATTTGTTATGTGAATCTACAGTATATAGTTCAAAAATCTCTGTTGAAGCAAACAGAACATTGTACAAAAATTCCAGGGAGAGCTTCGAAGTATTCTAGGGGAGCTGAGCTCCCTGGCTCCTTGCTGGCCCGTCACTAGATCGTGTATGCTTTATTTGAAAAATTAGAAGCTATGAAATAACTGAATCCAATTTTGTTATACTTTCACTTATATTCGCGACTCTTAGGTCATCTCTGAAGAACAATTGAAACATGGTAGATCATCTAGTAACTTGTAATTGGCATGCAAACGAACCAATTTCTCCGTAAAATACTATTTAAGAACCATAAGAGAAAAATCCTTTTCGCAGAGAGATATCAGTATATTATGTGATCGACTCAATCAGATTTAAAAACTTTCCTTTGCTCTCTACTACGAACATTTTTAAGCTATTACTATTTAGACTTTTCAATAAAATGTTTCATTTTCTTCAGGTAAAGGAATAATAAAACGTTTATTAATTCAAGTTCAATGTGATCCACCACAAAACAATACCTACTATAACTTTACTTATCTTGATACAATGTTAGAAGATTTTCTAGATGCTACCGATGGTCATTCACGTATCATTTCTTATTCTACTCAACCAAATTGGCTCTTTAAACAAGATACACCTCATATCTATCCTGATAATGCTTCAGTAATTGATTGGCAATATCCAGTTGGTACTCAATTGGTTGATGAAACTATGCAGGAACTAGGTGATTATTATGGACGTCTCTTTGCTTGGTATATTCGAGGTGGTTTCATTGATGAATATGGTAGAGAACATATATCAAACTATCAATATAATTGGGATTATACAGAAATATTTAATGAAGTAGAAGCTGAACATGGTATGACTGTTGAATATTATACTCGAGCATATGATGCAGTTATTCAAGGTATTCGAAGACATACAAATAATTATGATATGAAATATGTTGGAATGGCTTTAGGAGGTTAGTCTTTTCGTTTTATATTCGAAGATTCCTCTGCTCAAATATATTTGTTGTAGGACACAATGAATTTGATTGGTATCGATATTTTCTTAATCATTCAAATCATGCACCCGATATTCCACTTGATATTATTTCATATCATTTCTATGCATTAGGTAACTCTCGAACTGATCCAAAAGATTGGGAATCATTCTTTGGTCAACTTGATACTTTTACATTTGAAGTTGAGCAGATTGAAGAGATTAGGAAAATTCTTTCACCAGAAACACGAACTACTATTAATGAATTAGGTGTTATTCTTCCTGATGATAATACACCAGGAGTACCACAATTTCCATTGATTTACTGGAATGCTGCTGCTGCACTTTATGCTTATGCATGGGCAAAGATATCTCGATATGGCATTGATGTTGTTGGACAAAGCCACCTTATTGGTCAGTGTTTTACATGTTAATTTCATCATTCCTTTTTTGATTTTATTCGTAGGTTATCCAGAATTACCAGATCTTCAACTTCAACCTCTATATCCAAGTGTTGGTTTGCTCAATTGGACAACAGGAGAAGGAACAGCAAAATATTGGATAACAAAACTTCTTATTAACACAGTTGATATTGATAATGATGAAGCAGTTGTAACACAAACAACTGATACTAGTGGAGAAAATATCTTTAGCCAAGGATTTGTTAGTAAAAATGATCATCGATGGGTATTGATTATTAATAAACGATATGCTAATGTTGATGTATTTTTGCCTGGATGTACTGGTGGTCGAATGCAAATTGTGAATGAAGCATCTAGTTTTGGACCTCCAACTGAAATAACATTGACATTAAGTAGAATAACATTGAGTCCATTTGCTGTCGCTATTGTTCATATGCCTTCTGATGACATGGAGTGATCAGAAGACACTTGCTTCTATGTAGTTTAGAATTGATAGATTTGATTAAAATTTCGATTTTTTAATGGTGATCTAAGCAAAATAATGTGTTTCCAAGATAGAACTGTTAACGTTATGCCGTTCTCTTTTTAACTCTAAAATAAATTCTTTTGTTTGTCAATGTAGTAAGAATATACTTAGGGCATACCAAAAGTAGCGGCCCAGGTACCTTATTTTCTTATAATAGGCTTATTGAAATTTTCTTTCTACATGAGAAGATAGAGAAAGCGAAGCTCTATTTTTCTATGCTATTTGATCACTTTTTAACTGCTAACATAATAATAAAATTTCAATAAGAACTGTTTTTGTATAAAACATAAATATTAAATTTTATCATATTTTCATCTATGTGTATTTTATTTTGGGGTTTTTCCTTGTTTTTTCTATTCACTTTACCTTCTTCTTTTTTCTTCTCATCCTTTCTAATGCCTAGCTCTCTATAAATAGTGTACACGTAGTTTATAATAGCCAGTAGTAGTAGAGTAAAAGAAAAGAAATAGGAAACAAGTTCAACAAATTTTTATTTCATCAAATGTTCAAAATAATCTCCGTCATTGTCCACACACAATTGCATTCGTTGCATCCATTTATCTAACGTTTTCTTTATACTCTTCTCTATTCAAAGAATACATGAATGCGATTACAGCATCACGCAACGATTCGGCATCGTTTTGATCATCTCTATTTTGTTTGATTAAATCGAATAACCAAAAATCACATGGTGCAAGATCTGGAGAATTGGGTGGATGTGGTATTATTGTGATACGTTTTGATTCAAGGTAATCGAAGACAGCTTTGTGAACATGGGGTTTTCCATTGTCATGGAGTAGTTTAATACCATGTGTACCAAATGAGGGCCTTTGCTGCTTGATTTCATTTACATGAGGTTTTAAACACTTATGGCTGTAATACTGATGGTCGACAATTTGTCCGTGTTCAATACGATGAACAAGAACGGGACCAGTTGACTTAAAAAAGATGCAAAATAAGGTTTTTGGAACGAACTTATTGGGTCGAACTACTGTAGGTGGAGGATCTTCTTTTGCTACCCAAGCAGTATTTGATGATTTGCGACCAATTTGTGTGTGATAAAACCACGACTCAT